TTACTCCAACTATTTTCACGCTGAATCAGCTCTCCTTCTTTTCTCCCGAACGTCTTTTCTCTGTCCCAGCACAAGTCCCAGTCCTTTCTCTCTCCCCGTCCTTCTCCCACTGTGCTGGTTTTAACCGTCTCCCCACTCCAATCACTGCAATCAGACACAGGTGTTATCAATTGTCCTTGATCCACTTACTCACCGCACAGCCTCTTGACTCATCTCTCCGTGCAGACAGCGCGCAAACCACGCCCCCCCCCCTCACCACAGACACCTTTAGAGTTTTTCGGTTCCTTGTCACTGTTCCCTTTGGCTTGCTCAGTTGGGGGTATTCAAATTAATTAACCAATCAGTAATACAATTGATCAACTCTACCAAACGATGGATGTTTTTCCACTAAGAAACGAACATTGTTAGTATGTTTTGATTGATACTCTGTGAAGCTGCTTTGATGCAATTTATATTGTGAAAAGTGCTATATAAATATTCTTGACTTGACATTTATAATGAGATCTCCCAAGATACATCAGGTATTCGGTTTGCAGGTATAGATTAAAATTAGTGGCATCCATGGTCCTAAGGAGCCGGGCCTGGCTGGAATGTCTTCAGCAGACCTGGCTGCCTTCTTTAGAGTGGTGGCATGTGTCATTGTGTCAGCTGGGGTAAGGAGGTCACAGCTCGTCGATGCAGCAGGGGGTACAGGGGCTTTTGTAAAGCAGCCTTTGCAATCTGTCCCTCTCTTCAGGGCTGAACTTAATGGCCATGTAGCTGCTGTGATTGTGACTCTTGGCCAGCTGTCATGGCGCAGGGCAACACAGTCTGTTGGTCACCGCTCCCCTATTGTTTCCTTCCACACCAGGGAGTGTTTGTCTCTTTGTGACATCATCATTACAGGCACTTCACCCCTCCCCGCAGAGATTGTTGTGACAGCTGGAGGCCTGAACACATCCACTCTCTATGACCAGACCCTTTCAGCTACATTGATATATTGAGGGATGGATGATGGCGGTCCACCATATGTGCCATCTTCACTCCCCAGAGCAGCACTCATTGATAATTCACATTATTGATCGATGGTCATTACGGCCGGCCCTTCAGAGGCTCTCAGCGGGATGGAATGACTATTACTTAAATCTAAGCACAGGTCTGAGAGTTCATTGAAATTAAACACAGGGTGTACAATATTAAAGGACCACTGTGTGTGCAATATTGATGCAGTCTCTGACAGTGACCTGTAAGCAATAACAGAATGTTATTCTATGATTGTCGCGCAGTGATATACGCAGTTTGTGAACAGGTGTTTCACATCGTAACTGTTTGTGTAAAATGTATTTTTGCATGGTTGGAATGATATATTGACCAATTAAAATTCAGGACTGTGAGTACTGGATGAATTATACGATAGATAGATAGATAGATAGATAGATAGATAGATAGATAGATAGATAGATAGATAGATAGATAGATAGATAGATAGATAGATAGATAGATAGATAGATAGATAGATAGATAGATAGATAGATAGATAGATAGATAGATAGATAGATAGATAGATAGATAGATAGATAGATAGATAGATGGATGGATGGATTGGGTGAATGGATTGGTAGATTAGATAGATAGATGGAAGATAGATAGATAGATAGATAGATAGATAGATAGATAGATGGATGGATGGATGGATGGATGGATGGATGGATGGATGGATGGATGGATGGATGGATGGATGGATGGATGGATGGATGGATGGATGGATGGATGGATGGATGGATGGATGGATGGATGGATGGATGGATGGATGGATAGATAGATAGATAGATAGATAGATAGATAGATAGATAGATAGATAGATAGATAGATAGATAGATTCTTCTAACTGAACTCACCTCTGTCAGGCTAAGTGAAAATGCAGAGTGTGACGGTAGCGGAGGTCGTGTATGTGTGGAAGTGTCAGATGAAACACCTGCAGTTCATCTTAATGTGTGTGAAAGTGTGTACAGCACCGTGGAGAATGCAGCCATTTACCACAGCGAATGTCAGAGAGAGAGAGAGGTCGTGAATGTGTGGATTTTCTGGAGATAGGGACAGGGTGGTCCACGGGTCACAGGGTTTATCCAATAAATCACACCAATAACACGCTTTTACCTCACTAACAAAAAATCCGAAGGAATCTATCATCGATTTTGCAATGCCATTTGGAAAAAAAGGGCAAGAATCAGGCAGAGGGGTGAGTTGGGTGAAGAGAGAGCGAGAGAGAGAGAGAAGGATGAGAATTAACAGTGACAGATTGCCAGCTTTCTTTAATGAGAACGGCTTAATTGGATGGTTAGCAGGGATCTAAAGTGACAGTCTGTGAGAGTGGGAGAGTAAATATAAATACAAGATCTCGGGGATTTTCATTTGCCTACTGTCTTCTTTATTTGTTTGCAGGACAAGCAACAGTGCAAAGTGCTGGGTAGACAGTATAGTTCTTTTAAATGCATTGTACATGTGTGCACACGTGCTTTCCTTTGTGCTCGCCTTGTCGCTCGTGCCTGGTTACCATAGTCACTAGATTTAATCTAACAAAGCATGAACGCCTCACAAAGAAAAGCTTCATTGAGTCTGTGTAGTTAATCAGCACTGCTCTGTCCTCCCTGACTAGAAGTGCGTATCAAAAATGAGAAATTATATTATACACAAAATATTAAGGACTATCTTTTTGTTTTATATATATGTATATAACAAAAAAATATATATGTGCTGTATATAATTATTTTGTATATACACACACATACATGTATACATTTAAGAAAATGTGTTATTCATATATAAAATATTTATATAATATAGATTTTGTATTTATATATATATATATACAGAATTTAAGCGCAAATAATTCTTAAATATATACATGCATGCATATGTATTTATATATACAAAATAATTATATACAGCACACACAAATATATTATGTAAACACAGACTTATATTTTGGATGCGATTAATCACAATTAATTTTTGCACAGCCCTAATATATATATATATATATATATATAATTTATTTTATTTTTTAATTTTTTTTTTATTTTTTTTTGAGTGTGGAATATGACCTGGTCATGTGAGATTCATCCCATACTGGGATTCTTGAGTGACCTCTACCAATCTTTGTCTGTATCCATGATGCATGTGAGTAACTGTTGTTTAGTATGCGAGTAGTGACGCCCATAGCCAAGGCTGGCACAGTGCGTTCCTATAGACTGGCTCCTGTGAACTGATAAAGGGAGTGAGTGAGGAAAGAGAGTGAGAATGAAAGCGCAAGTAATCTCATTAACTCAGTGTTACGAGTGAAGGCCAGCAATCATGTACAACTGGCCTGCGGGAAACTATCAAAACTAAATAAAGCTCACTCCACCCAGATCATTACAGTACACACCTCACCTGTGCACACAAACCAATACCGCCCCGTCCATACGTGTTTATATCAAGGAGCAAATTCTTGTTTTAAAGAGGCCAGAGTGCATTACTAACATACTTAAGCCTCGTAAGGCCATTTGTTACGGTGATTTTGCTTCATGTCTGCTTGACGGCGGTATAATCACTCAGAGTGTTGTTAGACTGTTTGTGTTTATAAATATAAAATGAAAAAAATGCACAATTTAATATCCAATATAAACTAATCTGATAAAATAAAATCTAATATCATCCAACAAACTTAACAGTACTGATCTAAATGTAAAAAAGGGAATGACAATTAAATATAAAGTTTTGACCGATGTTGATTAAAAAAAGAATATATATTGGCTGATAACTATGGAAGTTTGTTTCTGCCACAGAATAAAAAAATAAAATGTAAAAGATAATTGCTCAGAACTTTGAGTTTATAACACAATTTATAACTACATATCACGTAATTATAAGAAAAAAGGTCAAAATTGCGCGAGAAAGTCAGAATTGTAAGACATAAACTAGGGCTGTCAAACGATTAATCGTGTGATTAATTGCATCCAAAATAAAAGTTTGTGTTTACATAATATATGTGGGTGCACTGTGTATAATTATTTTATATATATATATATACACACACATGCTTGTATATATTTAAGAAATATTTTCATGTATATACTGTATAAAGATTTATATATAATTAATATTATATATAAATATAAATATTTTATATATAAATAATATTTTTTTCTTAAATATACATGCATGTGTGTGTATTTATATATCTAAAATAATAATACACAGTGCACCCATATATTATGTAAACACTTTATTTTGGATGCGATTAATCGCGATTAATTGTTTGACAGCCCTAACGTAAACACAATTGTGAGAAAAAAATCCAAAATTGTGAGATTAAAAGTCGCAGTTAGCTTTTTTATTTTTGATTTAATGGCGGAAACAAGCTTCCATAGATTACTGATATTGTACGAATATAGCTAATATACATTGCTAATATTACATATTCTGAGAGAATGCTGGGCGATAAAATGTACTATATTATCACCCAACTCTTGATATAAAGTTGTTATATAAAGTTGTATATCCAACTTTATCCACATAGCTCTAATCTGCTAAATGTGACTTAAAGATTAAGATATAAATATTAACATCATGATTTTGTCTGTGTATTGTGAAAAGTGCTGTACAAATAAATTGGACTTGACGTGCGTTAGCTGCATTATGCTACGATCCTTGTGAAGGAGTTGGACATCCTGAACAGCTCATCTGAGTCTGTGTTGTGATTGGTATTATGTCTCAGGCGTTGTATAAATATGGGGTCGTAGCTTGTTTTCTTTTCCCAGGCTCACGCGGTCGACACAGTCCTCGAAGCATAAGACAGAAGGTAAACAGGCAGACAAAAGGGTGGCCCCTGTTCCCACGCTGACCTCTAAGACCCCAGATTTGTTGTAGTAGAGTCTGTGTTAACCTGGTGTGAACGGCACCATCAGGGCAGCGTCCTTATCCTCCTTTATGTGCCCAGCCATTCCACCGCCTCATGCAGTTGTTTTTCTCTGTTTTAGGTAGTTGTTCCCACACGGGTTGGTCAAATGTACGTGTATGACATGGGGAAAAGTGAACAGGATGAGTATGACGTCCCCAGACACCTTCCACCCACCCAGGATATCTATGACGTGCCGCCCACCCGCACCCAGTACAATCAACAGGTAAAGTGTTCACCTGATCCAACTCGAAAGAGAGACATCACGTGACTCTGTGTGATGTCAATGATTATGTCAACGTGTTGAGGTTCATATTTACTTTAATGTCCTTGTGAAGATCATTACGCTGCAGGTTATTGGATACAGTATTTTGTGGATGAGCCAGTTGAAAATCACTATTGATGATAATAGCCTTTAAGTGCATCTCAGATGTCTGCAGTGTGTGTGTGTGTGTGATAGATGTTTAATAATACAAGTAATGAGAATATTCTTTATTTCTTGTCTTTAGCTGCTTTTTTAATCTGCTCTCTCTTTTTTTTATTTATCTTGCTCTTTCATTTTCTTACTTTCTTTCACTATTTTGCTTTGTTTTTGTCACTCTTTTTAATTCCCTACACTTTTCTAGGCTTTCTTTTTACATGTTATATTGGTTTCTTTCACACGCTTGTTTGCCTTTTTTCCATTTTTTTTTTTAATAACAAATTTTCAAAATTTTGACTTCATTGTTCTTGCTTTCTGTTCTTGCTGTCTTTTCTCTCTCTTTCTGTCTTTCTTTCATTTTCATAGATAGAGCTTAATGCTGAACAAAACCTCTTGACGGCGGTATAATCACTCAGAGTGTTGTTTGACTATTTGTGTTTATAAATATAAAATGCACAATTTAATATCCAATATAAACTAATCTGATAGTTAATAATAATAAAATAAAATCTAATATCATCCAACAAACTTAACAGTACTGATCTAAATGTAAAAAAAGGGAATGACAATTAAATATAAAATTTTGACCGATGTTGATAAAAAAAAGAATATATATTAACTGATAACTATGGAAGTTTGTTTCTGCCACAGAATAAAAAAAATGTGAAAGATAATTCCTTCTTTTTATCTCAAAATTCTGACTTTTCTTGCATTTGTGAGTATATTTCTCAGAACTTTGACTTTATAACACAATTTATAACCGCATATCACGTAATTCTGAGAAAATTGCGTGAGAAAGTCAGAATTGTAAGACGTAAACTCAACACTGTGAGAGAAAAAAAGTCAAAATTGTGAGATTAAAAGTCGCAGTTAGCTTTTTTATTTTCTATTGTTCTTGCTTTCAGTTCTTGCTGTCTTTTCTCTCTCTTTCTGTCTTTCTTTCATTTTCCCTCTTTTGCTCACTCTTTTTTCCTGCATCCTTATATTTCTGTTGGCTCGATGATTGCATGCCTATTTTTAGATGAGGTCATGCATTACTTGCAGTGGAAGTAGAAATTTCAGTGTCTGGAGGCATTTCAAAAAGAAGGTCAGCATTGTGAGTGTGTGAAGCAGAATATCCTGAGACCGCTGTGTGCGCGCACATATGTGTGCATTGTGTGTATATGAGGGAGAAAGTGCTGTCAGCAAGATCAGTCCTTCAATGCAGCACATACACACACACACACACACACACACACACAGTAGACAACCCTGGGGGAGAAAGAGACAGACAAAGCCTGGCTCACGGCAAAGGCCATGAATACCCAGACCACATAATTCCAGCACACACAGTCTTCAGTAGAGAATGAGAGGAACATGGATGAAGGCAAAGACCAGAGCACACGATGTAAATGACAGAGCAGAGCAGGGCAGATAAGATGAGGCACATCACTCGGCATTTTGTGGACAAAACACATCATTAGAAGTAATGTAAAAACACAAATGGTGTAAAACAAACATAAACTAAGATTGAACTGTGGCTCAAGTCACGCTTTGCACAATACAGGTTGTTTCAATTCAGCGTTAGAGTAATAAACTGCAAAAATAATGATCAATGATGCAAACTTCATCAAATATGAGAAAAATTCAAATTCTGATGTTAAGCAAGTGTGCTGTGCAAGTCCTGAAATGTGAGGCCAAAACATTTCAATCTCCCCCTGGTGGCTGGCTCCAGTATAGGTCATAAACCCCGCCCTCTCCATGTAGTTGAATTTTAGAGAATTGACCCTTCGCTAAGCCCCGCCCTCCCTAGATACTGTTGCTACGCCTGTCAAGCTTTCACGGCTGGCACATCTATTATATTGTGGATGCACCGGTGTCAGACATTCCCAATGAGATAATTAGTAATTTTTGGTGAACATGTGAAATATCTGAGAGAGCAAGACAAAAGGGACTACAGTATTTCCATTTGAGGGATATATTCACGACATAATATGCAACCGATTAGAGAATAATTTCTTAAGAATTGAAGCTAAAGCCTAACGTTATAGTCCCAGCGCAAGCAGCAGCGCCTCATATGCTGACCATTCAAATGGGAAACACACTAATTGAGGAACAGCTATGTTCGTGCACATTCATTATGTGAAATTGTGAAAATGAACCTAATAATTATAAATCAAACAGCTCATCCATAAATCTTGTGGAATAACACTAACACCGGGACAGCCGCGATTGGATTGTGTTTAAGTTACTTAGTCAGGGGTAGTAGGCCGTCGATTAACAAAGTATATCAGTGAGCCTCCGTTTTGTCTTTAATCATCTTATTTTATGTTAAAATATATCCATTATGACCAAAGAACCGTCAATATTTCCAAGCAATAGGTGTTTTTGTTAATCATGTCGACATTTAGTTGTGCATGGGTTGATCACGCCCATCATTTCTCCCCGCGGCTTTTAGATTTTCGGGAAGGAAAAAAATTCCACTCCCCCGTCCAAACTTTTAGGATACCGGGTATTTGCACAATCCATATGCTTCAGCATGTTTCCCTCGCTCGAAAGCTTGCCAGACCTCCCGCGCCTAGTTACGGTTGCTAAGACACGATTGGCCAGTGGCGTTTTTCGGGCGTGGCTTAGTGAAGGGTCAATTGACGCAAACCTTAAAAAAAAAAAAAAAAAATCCAAAGATGGTTTCTGTCATATTAGCTAGTTCTCATCATGCAGACGTATGTTCATTTTCCCAATAACTTTGGATATTTTGGCTTATTTTTCTACAGTGAAAGGAAGCAGAGACGCGCTGTCCATCTTTTTTTACAGTCTATGTTTAGCTCTGTGTAGTAGTCGATTGTCGAGTTCGCGTGTTATTGCTTAGATACCAATGATCGTGCTCACAAACTCCACAATCGACTTCTGTGGACTTTGACCGAAAACAGAAAGTAAGTTGAGGTATGTGCGCTGGCTGATTTAACATCATTTTTATTAATATCTTTCACATCTACTGCAGTCAGATTGACCGTGGTCACTTTTAATAACACCACTCACATGGCTGTGCACTCGTAATGACAAATCAAGGATGTTAAGAGGCTAAAATTAGGTTTAGAACATGCCCCATTGAAGTCAACAGGGTGCGAATTATAAAAAGACGATAACACGGTGTAGGCAACACCAATATTTGTCGTTTTTGTCTGTACTGACAGCACTCCAAATGTACAAAAAATGAGCTCAATGTTAAAAGTGACCGGAGTTCTCCTTTAAATTCAGCTATAAACAGCTTAAGGTTGTGTCATAATTTAGTTTAGTCAGTTCAATACCAGTGTCAATGATGCAAAATTCGTCAATTATGAAACAAAGTCAATTCAGCTATAAAGCAAAACATAATTTAGCTCAGTTTTGTTCTCATCCTATAGTGTCAATGCGGTCAAATGGCTAAATTTTTCGTGCCGACAAAAAAATGCTGCAAGCCAAAACACTTTCTTCCCAAAATTGCTCCAAATATTCATTGTAACAAATCACAGTCTCTCAGATTAGAGCGATACAGAGCAAAAAACACAGTCGTTTAATCAGGCGGAGCTGGCAGAGCGCTGCTGGATGCTCATTGAGAGGTTTTGGTATTCATGGTTTCTCCTGCCTCCGTCTCTGGCTGCAGGCTCTCCTGGGGGCGCACAACAGATTGAGAGCCATTGTTTGGCCAGCATTATACATGCTAATGGTGTTTGGGTAAGGATGTGTGTGTATGTGTGTGATTGGAGCAGTATTGCTAGAAGTATAGTGCCTTCAGACATCTCTAATACACATTAAGGACATGCATTAGGATTGTTCTGGGTAAATTGTTTAAATCAGTGGATGTTTGACAGCTGCACAGTACTCTGATCATAGAGAACTATTATTATTTCGAACTATACATTTTCACTTTGTATGCAAAACATTTCTGTTATAAGCAATGATCATTGCTTCCAGCAGGCGTCAAGAGCTCTGGAGAGCAATAAATGAGGAAGGGATGGTATTTTGGTATGGGTAATGCTTAAAATGTGACATTTTATTTCCATAAAATGCCATTATGTACTTTATGACATCAAGACACCTATGTCAAACAGCTGCATTCATTATAATACAATTTTTATGCCATTACAACCCTTAGAGGGCAGTTTGTGAACCGCTGGTTTAAATTATTAATGCATATAAGTATTAAAATAAAATGTACTATTGAAATTTTCCAGTCCCTAAGTGTGTGTGTGTGTGACACTAACTCTATCTCAGACAAGATTAGACTTTAATCCAAATTCCCTTGACCTCATTTCACCCATATCAAATGCGGTAGTGGAAAAATCTACATTTTACTGCTAACACTATAAAACATTTATTGGCTTTTAATCCTTTGCTAACATTCAAGTGCCTTGGGCCTTTGTGTGTGTGTGTGTCTGTGTGGTTATTTTTTCTTTTTTTGTACCAGTTGAGCTGCAGGCGTTATAAGTCGTCACAGGTTTGACAGAACATTGAGACAGGAAGTCACACTTCATTTATAGCACTTTCTGAAACTCGAGTCAGTTTTATTTTTGTATTGATGAGAGAGCATGCTCTGTGTCATAAATATTACAAAAACGATAAAATCTGTAATAGCTAAATGTTGGGAGGTTTATTTAACTATAGCTTGGGGGCAAATTTGTGCTCAGAAATGAGGGGAATACAGTAGGCCCTTAAGTTTGGGGTAGTTAGTAGTATTTATAATTAGCTTTCCATAAAAAAAATAATATGATATGCCCTTATTTAGATGATATAAATAAATAAATAAATGTTTATGTATTTGTTTGTGTAATAATACTTGAATAGTGTAAACTGTATTTACGTGGCTTTTTTAAAATGGCCGAATTGTGGCACTGTAGTGACTGTTTGGATTGTGATTAGGAGTACGTTGGATTAGTGCAATACAGCGCCTACTAGGGTTTGCACAAAATTCAGCACACCAGTGATTCGTATGGCATGCGTTCGGCCAATCAACGTACACTTACGTCACTGGTAGCTCCTGTTGTGCGAGGTTAGACCATACTCTGACATTTAGTCCCCAAAAACGCATTCCTATAACTAAAATCATTCCCAGTTCCTGCAGTATGAACATGCCAAAAAGCGGGTACTTCCACCAATAGGAACTATGAAAACATTGTTCCAGTTCGAAAAGTAGGAGAAGGTAGGAAATCAGGGGCCCTGGGTTGTAAAATAAAGGAGAAAAACAGACAAAAACAAATGCCCAGCCTCTACATTGCGGGCTTATTAAACTGCATTCAACTAACACAAATTGTTTTATTAAATGGCTCTTTCCTTTTCAGGTCAGATCAACGTATTCTCAATGTAGTCACTGATTTATTCTGTAACAAGGTTAATTATGTCATTATACTGACATGATCTGACATCTAGTCTTAATTGTGTATTTATTTCATTTATTTAACTAGTAAATGAGTTTTATGTCTTTTTCTCTGGGCCACAGGTTTATGACACTCCTCCAATGGCAATGAAAGGCCCACCTAGTAGAGATGGTCAGGAGATCTATGACACTCCACCTAGTGTGGATAAGAGCCAGCTGCACTATCAACAAACGGTAACAATTATTCTTTGTCTCCATGCATGACTGACACAAATCAATTGTACTCTAGTTTTATGTACACCTTCGATTTGGACATTAATGGGAAAGAATAATCATGCTTCAAGTTAATTTTATTAAGTAAAGTTCAAGTATACTTAATGTAGTAAGTATACTAATATCAATGTACTAGAAGTATACTTTATTGTTTCGAATTACTTAGAACTAAATTGGCCCACTTTTAGTTCAGTTTACAAAAAAAAAACTTGGAGATTAGTTCTTAGTTCTAAAACTTAGTTCTAGTCATCTCATTTTGGTTATTGACCAATTTTAGAAATATTAATTTTGGATTGATTGTTCATGCTAATTTTTTACATTTAGATAACCTTTTCTATCATCTTATGCATACTTGCACTTGATCTTTTAAAAAAAAACTAATCATTTAATAAGTTAAATGCAATCTTTAGCAAAACAAAACAAAACAAAAAAAACATAAATTTTCATTCTGCTGTGGTGCCTAAATTCACTTTTAACATTTAAAATGATTGATTAATTAACAGTATCTGCCAGAATGCTAAAGGGATAGTTCAGTTTGAAATAAATTTTTGGTTTGTTTTAGCTCACCTCAAGGGCATCCAAGATGTAGGTGTCTTTGTTTCTGCAGTAGTTTCAGTTTTGATATTTTTAGGTCAAACCGCTCTTGTCTGTCAGTCATATAATTGAGGTCTATGGTCACCACCTAAAAGAGCATGCACAGAGAAGTCCAAATTAAACATGATTTAATGACTCGTAAATGTAAGTACACATTGATGGCCTAAGACACGAAACGAGCGGTTTGTGTGAGAAAACGAACAGTATTTATATCGTTTTACCTCTTGCAACCACAGCCACGTCCAAGTGATCTTAGAGCGCGGGTGTTTTGTGGCTGTGGTAACAAGAGGTTAAATCTACATGAACACTGTTCGTTTTCTCACACAAACCTCTCGTTTCGAGTCTTAGGCCATCAATGTGTACTTACATTTACGAGTCAATAAATCATGTTTAATTTGGACTTCTCTGTGCATGCTCTTTGAGGTGGTGACCATAGACCTCCATTATATGACTGACAGACAAACGGTTTGACCTAAAAATATCAAAATTGAAACTACTGCAGAAACAAAGACGCCTACATCTTGGATGCCCTTGAGGTTAGCTAAAATGTATTTCAAAGCAAACCATCCCTTTAATATCAGTACATCCCTAATGAGTTTGGTTATGATTATACCAGGCTAGTTTTGGTAAACACATTACTCCTCTTTACAGGTATATGACATTCCTCCATCTGTCAGCAAAGACGTTCCAGATGGTCCGATCAGGGAGGAAACGTACGACGTCCCTCCTCACTTCGCCAAGATGAAGAGCCTGGAGAATCAAAACCAGGCTTTTATGTCTCAGATCCCTGGCGGTCCCGAGCCTCCCATACCAGAGGACGTGTACGATGTTCCTCCACCTCAGCTAGTAGCGAAACGGCAGCCTGAGGGCCAGGAGATCTATGACATCCCTGCCAGCCTGCGAAAGAGTGGCTTACAGGACCACCACCCTGCAGATGTGTACGACTTCCCCCGCGAGCGGCCGTCAGCCGAAGAATCGGGCGACTACATCTACGACGTGCCTCCTCAGGTGGTACGTGACGCGGCGGCCACAGAGGATCTAACGGTCAGCTTCAAACGCCTGTCGGCGTCCAGCACAGGAAGCACTCGAAGCAACCACTCCACGTCCTCTCTGGACATGGTGCCGGTGCGCGAGTCCTCCGGGCCGGGTCGCCTGCTGCTCTTGGATCTGGACCAGGCCATGGAGCGGCTGTCCCGTCATCAGCAGGCCGTAGAGAGCTCCGTGTCCCTCCTAATGTCGTTCATTAGTGGGAACTGGCGCAGCCCCACTCAGATGGAGTCCAACCTCCCTGCCATCCGACAGGCCGTGGACCGCATTCGCGTGGCTGTCCGGGACCTCCTGGAGTTCGCTAGAGGTGCCGTGGCCAACGCCACCCAGGCCACGGACCGCACGCTGCAGACCAAGCTCGGCAAGCAGGTGCAGAAGATGGAAGAGGCCTTCCAAGGTCTGGTGATGTACAGTCAGGCACTGGACTCTCTGGGCTGGTCCCCCGCAGCCTTGATGGCGCCATCTACAGGCACCGGTGGGGACGACCTAGACCGGCTGGTCATGTGTGCCCGCGGTGTGCCCGATGACACCAAGCAGTTGGCATCGTTTCTCCACGGGAATGCCTCTTTGCTCTTCAAACGGACAAACAAACAGCAGCAGCTGCCCTTGCCACCCGTTCCCCACACTCCAGACATGCTGGGTCAGCTGACCAACAACAACAACATCTCAGCCTATCAGTCAGGCACACCCGAACGGGCCAACATCCAGTCCCGCCCGTTACCCTCCCCTCCCAAATTCTCAGCCGAGGAAGAGACTCCAGACAGGCCGCACGAGACCACAGAGGAAGGTTGGATGGAGGACTACGATTATGTCCATTTACAGGTACGCTAAGAATGCATCCGAAATGTTCATTCGTTTCCTTTTGAGAGCAAGATCCACGTGTATGTTCTCGGCTAGCAATATGATCATTGATCTGCGTGTGGGCTGGACCTGTAATCTCCACTGTGTCGAGCCTCAGGCCTTTTCATCAATCACTGTGATTTTCCTGCTTTTCCTCAAAGCCCATATCTCTTAATCTTTCAGATTTCATGCAAATTATACTTTTTTATTATAAACTGTATGATCATTTAGTATGTACGACAGTATTATTGTAAATATTTTGGTACTAAATTGCAAAAATAGTATGTGAAAGCTGTGACCATATTGGCCAATTTTTGATACATTTTTTTTTTACCTACAATAATTTTGCAATTTAACTATCAAAGATATAAATGCAATGTATATATATTTTTGCATGTTTGCATTTGACAATCATCTTGGCTGAAAGGGCACATGTGACTCCTGAAAGTGGTTGAGTTTCACTGTGATGTTATACTGCCCCCCAATGGATTGGATGGAAACTTTTCAGTGCACATTTTTTGAAGTCAAAGAATGGATGGATGGACGGATTGCACATGCACTTTTGTTTTGTTTTTTAAAGAATGGTGGGAACAGTTGCATGCAGGTTGTGACAGATATTTTAACATGATCTTGCTCTCTTTTAATCTAATTAAGTTGACACATTACACAAACTGTAATTAACTCATCTACTCATAGACTGTAAATGATTTATTCTTAAAAAAACATGTATTTTAACTTTCTATTTCAGGGTAAAGAAGAGTTTGAAAAGAACCAAAGACAGCTGATGGAAAAAGGGAGCATTAAACACAATAAGGCTGTGCTGGAACAGCAACAGGTATACGAGACTGTAGTTGCTATAGTATTGAATATATTTATGGTAATTAGTTAACTACATTAGTTAGCATGACCTAATAATGAACTGGATTTATACAGCATTTATTAATCTTTGTTCATGTTCATTTCAGCATTTACTAATACTTTATTAAAATCTTGTTAACATTACTTAATGCACTCGAACTAACACGAACAAATAATAAAGATTTACAGTAACAAATGTATTGCTCTTGGTTAGTTCACAGTAACTAATGTTAACTAATGAACCTTATTGTAAAGTGTTACCACATTTATTTACATACTTAATGCTTACTTGGTTACAAAGCCACTTTTTGGGCCTTTGGGACATTTAGCTGAGCTTCAGCTTTTTAACATTAGCATTGTTTGAATTTTCTAAACTGTATTTTTTTCAATACATACGTATATATATTTTTCAAAAATAAATGTATGATCAAACAATAATTGAAAGAGTTGAAAGAGCCCTGGTATATCACATACCAACAACATTATACAATTTAAAAAAAATATTTGATATAACACTTAAAATGATAGTTCGCCCAAAAATGAAAAATTCTGTCATCATTTACTCACCCTCAAGTTGTTCCAAACCTGTTATATATATATATATGAAAGTCAATGGGAATTGTTACCGTGAAAGTCATAAAGGTTTGAACCAACTTAAGTGTGAGTAAATTATTTATGGTAAATTATCCTTTTAAAGGAGAAGTTCACTTTTAAAAAAACTTTTGCTGATAATTTACTCACCCCCATGTCATCCAAGATGCCCACGTCTTTCTTCAGTCGAAAAGAAATGAAGGTTTTTGATGAAAACATTCCAGGATTTTCTCCATATAATGGACTTCAATGGGAACCAAACGTTTCAAGGTCCAAATGAGAGTTTCAATGCAGCTTCAAAGGGCTTTAAACGACACCAGACGATGAATAAGGGTCTTATCTAGCGAAAAAATCGGTCATTTAAAAAATAAATAAATACGTTTAAGTTTTATAAGCACATATGCTCGCCTTGCTCTGTTCTGTGATGAGCGTTCGTGACTACTCGTTCATCAAAATGAACAAATCTTTTTTCGAGTCGTGACTCGAAGGGTCCTAGATAAGACCCTTATTCATCGTCTGGTGTCGTTTAAAGCCCTTTGAAGCTGCACCGAAACTCTCATTTGGATCTTGAACCGTTTGGTTCCCAATGAAGTCCATTATATGGAGAAAATCCTGGAATGTTTTCATCAAAAACCTTCATTTCTTTTCGACTGAAGAAAGACGTGGACATCGTGGATGACATGGGGGTGAGTAAATTATCAGCAAATGTTTTTTTAAAAGTGAACTACTCCTTTATACCTACACTTACAAATATCATATTTTAATATTACATGTATTTATGTACAATGTTCTTGATTGCACATCTGTTAAATGCAATATTATTCACTCGTGTACCTAACCCACAACAGCTGAAGCAGTTTGAGCGGCTGGAGCAGGAAGTCTCTCGACCAATCAACAATGACATTTCGGGCTGGACTCCGCCCACTCAGTACCCCCAGACGCCGCGCAGTAAGCTGTGCACGGGCGACCGGCAGCTGCTGCTCTTTTACATGGAGCAGTGCGAGGCCAACATCACCACGCTCACCAACGCCATCGACGCGTTCTACTCCTCCATCAACAACAACCAGCCGCCCAAAATCTTCGTTGCCCACAGCAAATTCGTCATCCTCAGCGCTCACAAGCTCGTCTTTATCGGAGACACGCTCTCCCGGCAAGCCAAGTCTCCCGAGGTGCGCAACAGGGTGGCTCAGCACAGCAACACGCTCTGCGACAAGCTCAAAGACATTGTGGTGAGCACCAAGACCGCAGCCCTGCAGTACCCCTCGCCAGGGTCCGCCAGAGACATGACGGAGAGGGTGCGGGAGCTCGCGGGATGCACACAGCAGTTCCGCATGGCACTCAATCAGCTACTGGCCATGTGAGCCAACGGGCCTCTTTTAAACTCACCTGTGCCATGAGCTTTATATCTCCAAAATGGACGAAATGTTGTAAATGAATTATTGTAAATATTTAAGGTGCTGTACGTCGGGGACAATATAATGGGAACAATGGAGGAGAAAGAGACGGAACATATCTAAAGTGTAGATTTAAGACATTATGCATTATTATAGCTAAACTGTAATTATTGCTCTGATTATTATAATTGTCATCATCATTATTATTATTATTATTATTATTATTATTATGAGATGCTGACTAAAGGTGTTTAAAATTTTAAACGTGTATGTAGAAGTACAACCATTTCCATCAAAGATCAGATTTTTTTTTTTAAATGAATTGTGCCTGTTGGAAGCAAAAATGGTGTTTAATGTTTATCCTCTTGCTGTTGGACAGTGTGAACGCAAAGCATGCTGGGAGTGAGCCGATTGACAGACTGTCCATTTTTTTTACGCCCTTCCCTCCCTATCTTCCATCCATCTTGTTCACTCGGATGCACGTCATTGCTTACGTTGCACGAGTGCAAACTACTGGCGGAACCCTTTGAAATGTGTTTAAAGGGGTCATGAACTGGCTTTTTAAATGATTATATTGTTGTCTGAGGTCAACTTATGACATTCGCTTGGTTTTTGCATTCAAAAACATCAAATTGAATAACTAATAGGCTATTTTCTACACTAGTTTTGAGCCTAGCTCAGAAACGCTCGGTTTTTATGGGCGTCTCGCACTGAAGACTTCGAAGTAAACGCCCACTGCTGTGAGTGGATAACAGTTTTGCATATTATAATGAGTTTCAACTCACCCGTCGGTGCTCGTCCGTCCAATGTTGTAAAATGGCAACTGGAATGATTCGCCCATACATGTTCGACCCAGAGTCCGTGTGTTGCACCATTCCTGTCAGATCCAATATAGACGGCACAGCACCGTTCTTTACTCTCAATCGGTCTGCAAATCCAGTCTCGTTTACAAAACAATCCTCAACAGACGGACAATGTTTTACCCTCATCTGCTGGAACGTCATTAAAAATACAGTCTAACCATGCAGTCCTATTGGAATCCAGAGGAAGAACAGTCTTCTTCCACAACCAGGGACTGCACAATATTCTGTATTGCTCGGTAGCTCCATCCGGTTTGTCATCACGAGGTAGGCATCTATGTTGTTTATCTATGCGAGTAATGCGCGAATCGGTGGGCGGGGCTAAACCGCAGTGTTGAAGTAGGCGTTGATCTTCTTCTGCGGGGGTGGTGTTTTATCCTCTTTGACGTCATAGTTCCCACTTTGAAAAACGAGTCGTTTGCTGAGCCTGGTGTCAATAAAAGCTTTTATTGGACTAACAAGGACGTTTTATAATATGATGACCTCTTAGATGTCAAAAGCAAAAAATTTGATTTCTCAGTTCATCACCCCTTTAAAATGAAACGCCCTAAGCCCTTGATCACTGGAATCCGCTATGGAGCTGATTTATTATTTACAGTTTTTTACTTATCAGTTTGTTTTATGGACCGTTCTATTGGTCTGTATGTGTGTGTGTGGGCTGTTGGGGAAAATATAAAACATTATACAAAAATGATAATACAATAAATTGTGTAACAAACAGTCAGCTTACGTTAGCTACAAGTATTATGTGGTAAAATAACTCTTGGGGTAAATTAAGCGTGATCTGCTGTTGCATCGTGGTCTATGGATCTGCCTGAAGTGAACATATTGAGTAGACTCGCCCCCTCAGAGGGGGCAATGGTCTGTCCAAATAATCTTCCCTCGTCCACTTGACGAAGTTGGACGCACTTCAAAACGGCGGCAGGGATTCCCCAGAGGGGAAGATATGTACATCATCCAATTAGAAAACAAACGTAGTGAAGATTTTCATGCCTGTAAGCTCCACGAATGCCTGCTCATGGCTGTACCTCTCTGGCATGTTTTAGGCTAGTTTGAAACCTTATCATGTTATTGTTTGAGATCTGATTATGAGTCAATATTGAGTCCTTCAGCCTCTTTTGACCTGGACTGTAGTGCCACTTCCTGCTGGACAGGTGCATCGTGGCAACAACGTCCTGAGAGTCGCTGATATCATTTCTGTGTCCGAGATCTCAGATATCGCATCGCATCCAACATAGACTGAGGCGTGCAGTGCACAAGTGTATATATCCAAAACCAGCTTCCTCCAATGCATCTGTTTCTGAATGGAGACCTGAACCACCTGCCTCAACCTCCCTCACCCTGTCTTCTAGCTCCCTGTTGGTTGTATTCTAAGTTTAAGAATATGTCAGAAAAAGTAGTTTAATGAAACTTATTAAACTTTTTAAGTACTGCAACATGTTGTTGTGCATATAGTCAAAATCCTTATCCAGTTGATAAAAAAGAAAGAAAAAAAGAAGCATTTAAGCCAAACGGTGACCTGATGTATGTTGTACTGTTATTCTGTTTTCAAATCTGTGTTCGAGGATTTAAATGATATTGACATATATGTTACTGTAAATTGCATAACTGGAAATATATGTTTAATATATTTTCATTAAAAAAATAAATTCCAGTCTATCTCACTATTAATCGTTCTTAAAAGTTCTTAACTTAAAGGGGTAGTTCACTTTAAAAAAAAAACTTTTGCTGATAATTTACTCACCCCCATGTCATCCAAGATGTCCATGTCTTTCTTTCTACAGTTGAAAAGAAATTAAGGTTTTTGATGAAAATATTCCAGGATTTTTCTCCATATAATGGACTTCAATGGGAACCAAACGGTTCAAGGTCCAAATGAGAGTTTCAGTGCAAACTATTCAAAGGGCTTTAAACGACACCAGACGATGAATAAGGGTCTTATCTAGCGAAATGGTCAGTCACTTAAAAAATAAATTAAAAAAGTTTAAGTTTTATGAGCACAAATGCTCACCTTGCTCTGTTCTGTGATGCGCGTTCATGACTCTCCTGTTCATCAAAATGAACGAATCTTTTTTCGAGTCATTCCGTTCATAAATAAACAAAATGACTTTGGATTTGTTCATAAATGAACGAAATGGCTTGAAAAAAGATTTGTTCATTTTGATGAACAGGAGAGTCATGAACGCGCATCACAGAAGAGCAAGGTGAGCATTTGTGCTTATAAAACTTAAACTTTTTTATTTATTCTTGAAATGACCGATCATTTCACTAGATACGACCCTTATTCATCATCTGGTGTCGTTTAAAGCCCTTTGAACAGTTTGCACTGAAACTCTCATTTGGACCTTGAACCGTTTGGTTCCCATTGAAGTCCATTATATGGAGAAAATCCTGTAATGTTTTCATCAAAAACCTTAATTTCTTTTCGACTGAAGAAAGAAAGACATGGACATCTTGGATGACATGGGGGTGAGTAAATTATCAGCAAAAGTTTTTTAAAAGTGAACTACTCCTTTAATACAGATGTACACTGACAATGCAAGCTGATCATCATGCCAACCAGATGTCTGGTACTCTTCTGTCAAACTCTTCTGGTTAAACCACCATGCAGTGTTTCCTTTATTGTTTCTGTCAAGTAACTTTTATTTTATATAGTGCTTTATAAAATACAGATTGTTTCAAAACAGTTTACAGTGTTGACAGGAAAATGATCCAGTGATACAAACAGAGTTCCTTTTGGCTTCATAGCAGTACTAAAAGAAAATGGTTTTATTGTTCAGATGAAGTTCTGAGTTAGAGCATTTAGTGTCATTGTTATGAAGCAAGCATGCACAGTGTGTACACAAGACCTAAAAAACCTGCCTGCCTTTCAGTATCAGAGAGGAACAGGCTTTAATAAGACTCTATAGCAGTTTTACTGTAAAGAGAGAGGATGGAAGCAGGGTGCACTTTGCATGGTAAAGTTTATCTATAATACTTGTTCATTAAAATAATATAATATAATAATACTGCAGCTAAAAAAATTAATAACAGCGTTGTTTTTATAAATGCTTTTAAATGTTTTACATCTTTCTACAGACTGAAAAACAAGTGGGATTCTACTTACTACATTTTATGACATTCCTTGAAAAGAAAACATAGAGAAAGGGATCCAGACAGCAGTTTAGCAAAGTCAGAGTCTTGCTTGTATCACCATAAACTCTACGAAAGGACTTCAGTCCGGCATACTCATCTGGATGAGAAGTTTTAGTCAGAGTAATAACTATATCAATCACATTAATGATGTGCACAGGAGTCCAAAACAGAAAGAAAGCCACAACGATGCTGACCACAAGTCTCTTCTTGTAAGTCTTAACGTTTGTCCCTTGGCTTCTGTGTTTCTGGTCCTGTGGAGCTCTAGGTAGACTGGAGCTCTTGGCTTTTTGGCTCAAGCCTTTGTGCAACCAGAGATAACATGTTAACATGATCAAAAAAGGAATGACGAACCCCGACAGGATCTCAAGAAGCAAAAGAGACACTACTATAGACTGTGACTCCATTGTCCTCTGACATCTTTGCAATCCATCCTTGTCTTTGAGTCCTTGAGTGAAAAATATTGGTAGGGCAAAAACAAAGGCTAGAATCCAGATGCCAGTCAGATGAAGGCGTCTGTGTCGTCTTTCCAGTCTGTGCAGGAGCTTCCTGTTAGTGACCCTTGACTTGATGACATTGTGATAGCGGTGCACACTCATGGAGGTGACCGTCAGGACACCGACATACAGACTCCAGTGACCCAAGAAGAACAGGATCCTACAAGACCAAAGGCCAAGTTTCCATCCAAACAGAATCCCACACAGCACGACAGGAGCCAAACAAAGGGTCAACGCATCAGAGACAGCGAGGTTTAGCATTAGACTTAAGGTAAAGCTTAAATTTGTTTTCCACTCACGAGCAATGCTGACGATTACTACGATATTGCTTGGCAAACCCACCAAACAGCACAAACCCAGAACTACAGCAGGAGCAATCTGTTCTGAACCCACAGCAGTGCTGTTAGATGTGGAATTGAAGACTAATCTTAGCTCCATCATCAAAATTTACTGTCTGGATAATGCTGAATCTGAGCTATGATTGCTGAAAAACAGGATCCTCATACCTGTGTTGAATCCTCACACTTCTGTAAACCAAAACCACAACTTTGCACATCATCAAACTTGGGTAGGACGTGTACAGTCCCCTCCAAAATTATTGGAATGGTAAGGCAAATTTCTTTGTTTTTATTGTTCGCTGAAGAAATTTGGGTTTAAGATCAAAAGATGAGTATGAGACAATAGTTTAGAATTTCAGCTTTTATTTCCTTTTATTAAATAACTCACAACATACCACCCTTTGTTTGAACCCACCCAAGTGAGCAAAAGTATTGGAACAAATAATCTTAAAGTAAATAACATTTAATATATGGTGGCATAACCCTTGCTTGCAATAACTGCCTCAAGCCTGCGACCCATCGACATCACCAAACTGTTGCATTGTTCATTTGTGATGCTATTCCAGGCTTTTACCGCAGCTTCTTTCAGTTCTTGTTTGTTTCTGGGAGTTTCTCCCTTCAGTCTCCTCTTAAGGAGGTGAAATGCATGCTCTATTTGGTTAAGGTCAGGTGATTGACTTGGCCAGTCTAAAACCTTCCACTTTTTCCCCCTGATGAAGTCCTTTGTTTTGTTGGCAGTGTGCTTTGGGTCATTGTCCTGCTGCATGATAAACTTTCTCCCGATTAGTTTCAATGCATTTCTCCGTAAATTGGCAGACAAAATGTTTCTGTACACTTCTGAATTCATTCTGCTGCTACATCAGTTACATCATCAATAATTATCAATTAGCCTGTTCCAGAAGCAGCCATGCATGCCCAAGCCATGAGATAACCTCCACCATGCTTCACAGAGGAGCTTGTATGCTTCGGATCATAAGCAGTTCCTTTCTTTCTCCATACTTTGGTAGAGAGTACTCTGGGTTCGGGCCGAATTCCGAGCTCGGAGCCCTCCCCCCAGACAGTGCGTCAAATACGCATTATACTTTATTCCCTTTAATTGTAGCCTATGTAAGTGTGAACTCGTGAACTGATGTTTTGGGGGTTTTCTTCACAGCTCACTGTTATCAACTGTTGTTTTCCTCGACCGACCTGTTCGACGCCTGTTACTCAGTACACTACCCAGACAGCAAACTGACATTGAATCAACGTGGAAACGACGTCTCTCATGACATTGAAACAACGTTGATTTTGCTCATCGAATTAACGTTGAACCAACGTCAGATGCGGCATTCTTCAAAGCTAAATGAAAAACGAAAATTGGTTTGCTTTCATACCGTTGAAACAACGCGTTGATTTCAAGTTGATTTTGCGTTAGTTTTGAAAGAATGACGCGTCTGACGTTGGTTCAACGTTAATTCGATGAGCAAAACGTCAGATCAACATTGTTTCGATGTCATATTTCCACGTTGATTCAATGTCAGTTTGCTATCTGGGTATTAGTTTATTTCTTTTTCGAAAAAGAAAGAAACTAATGCTGTACTGAGTAACAGGCGTCGAACAGGTCGGTTGATCCTGGAAAGTTGACAAACATTGTGCAATTTGCTTGTACAATGTTTGTCCAATGACTTGGATCAACTTTCCATCTTTTCTCAGCTTGACAATGGCTTGCTTTTCTCCCATAGCAACATGACTTTTGTGTTTACAAACATACACGCCACTTTCAAGTCATGTGATACGCATCGAGCTATCCGCGTGTGTATGTCTACAATGTTCAAGTAGCCTACACACCGTTAAATGTCCAAGCGAAACAAAGCAAAATGTAGATCTACACCTGGGGAGCGATATTTTATATTTTTTCCCCTAGGATGGTAGGGGATAGGGATGTGACGGTGAGGATATTTTCTCACCGGTTAATCGACGTGTGACAATACCGGTGTCACCGGCGGGGGCTTTTAAATCGCTAATTTAAAGGCAAATGTAAAATGCACGCATTTGCACAGGCATGAATGGGATAATGGTGTGGTAGTGCGGATATAACTGTTTTATTGTGCCCTGAATATGCGCTAGTTTGAAAACGAAACTATTTTTTTTTTTACATCACGTTCACTTTTAAATTAGCGTCATTCATCCTTCGCTTGGAGTTTGATTGACATGTGATCTGACCAATCAAAAATGAAAACCACCATTTTTGTCCGACAAAGCAGTCTGGAGAGTTTTTTAGAGAGCAGATTAACGTCGGTGGAACTTGGCTTTATCTGTCACGAGCCACAAAATGGTAGGCCTATTTATCTATTCCCTACGTTTACTGTTGACTTGGAGTGAATGAGAAGGAGTAAATAATAACGATTGAGCGAATTCGAACAGCCGTTGCTGACAGAGACGCGATCCGACACGACACGCGTCCCATTTTCTCACAAATCTCTACTTTCGTTTAAGACTCTTATGGACATCACATTTTGGCATAATTTGTGTGTGTTATGGTTTGTTCAAGCCCGAAAGAGAAGGTAACGCTGACTACCGTAGCAAGCCTAGTAGGGGAACACTCGGTATTAACCCCAGGTTTAGGGACGGGGTTGTGGTACGTCATATATTTATATGTAACGTTAGCCTACTACAGTAGTGTAACGTTAAGTCAACGGCGTTCATTAACACGCTGAAAAGAGAAAGAACAAATAGAGAAAGATGATGCGCTGTGGCAATGATGTTTTTTTAGTGAGTGCTAAAAAAAAAAGAGGAGATGGCCACGGGTAGGAAAAAGAGGCCAAATCATTGTTGTGCTTTGGGTGAGCCAAGCTCAAATGCCAGCTCTTGGACTTTTCCTGATTTCTGAGGAAGTGGTTTCATAGAATCAGCAAGGAGGTAAACCGGTTGTTTAAATGACAGAGGAGAAAGCTGCTTACAATAAAGGTGACATTTATGAAAAATAAGACTTTAAAAAAAAGAAAAAAAACACGAATACATGTTATATTGCACCCAATGAGGCATGAACACAATCATGCAAAGAAAAAAAGCAGTAAACCACCCCTTTAATAGTTACAACGAAGAAACCACTTGAGAGAGAATTGTCAGAAGACTTTTGCACATAAGGGGACACTGGTACAAGAGGATTGCCAAAGCAAAAGTAACACAGACACTCTAAAAGAATGGTCTTGTGACAAATCCCTGAAACAATCAGGCCTTCAATTTAAGCTTTCATTTCATAAGAGATTTTTGTTTGCGAAAAAAGAGCAGGAGAAATGTTTCAGAGCTGGCAAAAGCTGTGAGAAGAGTGACTGTTTCATATCACACAGTAAGTCTCGACATGCAGAAGTGAAATGCACTGTAGATGTCCACACAGGAACTAACACCTAGCCAAAGCAAAATAAACTCCTTTAGTCATTTCCCATTTAGTCATAGAAACTAATTTTACCAGGCCCGTATTACCAAAAATAGACTTCTGACCATCCATACGCTGGTCTCATGAGACCAAATCGACATTCCAGCATCCAAGACGTATTACACTGCAAGGGGAAGCAGTACAGTGGGGAGTTCCTAGTCCCCACAGTGAAGTTCAGTGGTAGTTTAGTTCCCTTTCATAGTCACTACGAGTTACGTCGTGATGACGAATGGGGTTCGTTTAGAAGCCTATCATCTTCGAAAGAAATAAAACGAGCCAATGGCAAGGGAATGCCATGGGTCTCTGAAATTTGCATGGCGGAGCTCTTGGAATAAGAACGGGCTTACGTTTGTGAGACAATCAGCTGGTTTTTATCATATTATATATTAAGACCCTTGATCCTCACCTGACTATGGCTTTGTAAACTTTATTCATGATGTGGTTTATAATGGAGTGCTCGTTGCTGATGTTATCACTAGCCCAACAGTGTTCTCCTGGCGCTTGTGCACACCGCGCAGTCTTCACATGGATGAGGCAACCGCGTTAAGCGATAGATTGTGACCGTGAAATTACAAAACAAACTGCACACAAACGTGTCCCTTCTCTTGATATACAATTACTGATGAAAATCTTTTTTTTAATGAGTAAAATAAATAAATAAACTATTAGAACCGAAAACCCCTGGCACACTTAAAAAAATTCTACCACCAGACCACTTTAACAAACAAATTTTTAATGCAGATCTATGTATTTATTCACAAATATAAAAATACTCTCGAGTAGCAATATATTGTATTCGATGGATGAAATTATCATATTAAACACAAGTTCTGTCAATACATTTTGTGTAATCAGCTTTTTTAATTAGCCCATTGTACATATCTGATATGCAAATGATTGTGTTGAAGCCTTCTGTTTGCATTATTTTTAGCTTATTTCTAAAATAGCTTTATTCATCTGGTTTGTGGTTTTCAGAAGTTTCTTTCTCTTCTGTTCATTTTACTCTTAATGTAGCAAGCTGCAAACATTTACCTTAAATAAAAAATATTAAAAATCTTATTATTAAGCCCATAATAATATATAACTCCATTGTAATATATCAAAAACAAGTTGAGATTTCTGAACAAATAGTTTCTGGTTTCACAACACATTTGAATTCCTTATTGATTTAAACAAATTGCATGCGTTTTTGCATATGTATGCAAAAATAGTAAGTACAATTGTCTTCAATTTGAACAATAAAAAATGCATCCAAACCACAAGAAACCTATTTAGTTTTAGACCAAATCAATAATTTTGGATCATGTATGAAATGCAGAGTCTTGTTTCTCCATCAACAGCATGTGTTAAAAACACACAAGTACATGAGGGATAACTATTTCTTTCTGATACATTTTAGAATATTTCCTGAAGAGACGGCATAGAGAAAGGGATCCAGACAGCAGTTTAGCAAAACCAGAGTCTTGCTTGTATCACCATAAACTCTACGTAAGGACTTCAGTCCGGGATACTCATCTGGATGAGAAGTTTTAGTCAGAGTAATAACTATATCAATCACATTAATGATGTGCACAGGAGTCCAAAACAGAAAGAAAGCCACAACGATGCTGACCACAAGTCTCTTCTTGTAAGTCTTAACGTTTGCCCCTTGGCTTCTGTGTTTCTGGTCCTGTGGAGCTCTAGGTAGACTGGAGCTCTTGGCTTTTTGGCTCAAGCCTTTGTGCAACCAGAGATAACATGTTAACATGATCAAAAAAGGAATGACGAACCCCGACAGGATCTCAAGAAGCAAAAGAGACACTACTATCGGCCGTGACTCCATTGTCCTCTGACATCTTTGCAATCCATCCTTGTCTTTGAGTCCTTGAGTGAAAAATATTGGTAGGGCAAAAACAAAGGCTAGAATCCAGATGCCAGTCAGATGAAGGCGTCTGTGTCGTCTTTCCACTCTGTGCAGGAGCTTCCTGTTAGTGACCCTTGACTTGATGACATTGTGATAGCGGTGCACACTCATGGAGGTGACCGTCAGGACACCGACATACAGACTCCAGTGACCCAAGAAGAACAGGATCCTACAAGACCAAAGGCCGAGTTTCCATCCAAACAGAATCCCACACAGCACGACAGGAGCCAAACAAAGGGTCAACGCATCAGAGACAGCGAGGTTTAGCATTAGACTTAAGGTAAAGCTTAAATTTGTTTTCCACTCACGAGCAATGCTGACGATTACTGCGATATTGCTTGGCAAACCCACCAAACAGCACAAACCCAGAACTACTGCAGGAACAATCTGTTCTGAACCCACAGCAGTGCTGTTAGATGTGGAATTGAAGCCTACTTTGAGCTCCATCATGATCAAATATTTTGAATCTCTAATGTTAGAAACAAAATAAATACAAGTTATTGAAGATAACCCCTCCCACGAAACAACATATGCCAAACGGGATGCTCACCTATAGCTCGAAAAATAAACAAAGATCGCTTATCACAGCCACAAGCAACGGTTTTAGTAGTACTTTCATTAATAAGTTATTAGCAATATGACAGTATATCATTGTATTATAAAAGATCAGTAGTTACTGTACAAACAAATATGAAAATTTTATGACAACTCAATTTTTATTTACATTAATTAATGATCTGTTTAGGATTAAAATGTAAAATTACAGTATAGTTATAATAAACTAACCAATATTTTTTAAAATACCTGCAAATTCATGTAAAATTAAAAATGCTTTAGAAAAACATAAAGAGTAATTTAAAGGAGGTGTATGCAAGAAATGTATTTCAATTAATAATAAATTTTCCCTGATATGTCACTAGACATTAAGCAATCATGTTCATTTCAAATACTTATATCACTGACAACAGTATTCCGGCCAGGAAATTGAAAAAGTGAAGTCGCAGCCCTTGACTGATGTTGATGTTGTCATGTTGTGTTTTGGTTTGATGCGTCACCTTCCAGCGATCTACCAATCAGAGTCAGTAGTGTTGCTGCATTCGGTTTGCCAGCTCTTCTCTAGTTACCCCAGCTGCAGATACAAACGTGTCGAAATCGGATAAAAAAAAAATGTCTAACGTTGCGAAACCATAAAAACCTCGATATGAATCCGAAATACTTTGTGACAAAGTCCGAAATAAATAATTAACAGAAAAAAAACCACACTTTGTGTAGTGTAGGACTCGTCACTTGCCATTGGAAGCTTCTTGTAGCAGATTTCGTTCCTGCTGGATCTTGCAGCATATCTGGCAACCTCGATTCAAGGGGGGAGGGGGATAAACCGCTCTACAGTAATTTGAAAGTGATTGCAGTACCAGTTTTGGCCACAATCTTGCATAAAAATATAGTAAAAAGCAAAGGCTGTTGAAAACTCACGAATATGATGACATTAAAGGGGAAATGTCAAAACATTGTGCTGTTCCTGGTTGTGGGGCAGACAATGTGGCTCTGCATAACTTTTTGGCTAAAGTTTATTTTTCTAATTTAAATTCTGATACGTCAGTCATTTAAAGGAGAATTCCGGCGCAAAATGAACCTTTGGTCTAATCACACATTGGTACCTAGTCGACCATTCTCTGAGATTTGTTTTCATGATAATTTAATGTAAAGAGTTTTATCTCTAAAAACTGTTTAGCTTAAAACGCTAATATATGGGGACATATAATAAATAAAAAGAAATCGCTAGTTAATACCACTAACAAGGCTCAAAATAGCCCCACACTAACACAGTAACATAATGAGGGTCCCTACATGCAAAACGAAGCATTGAGAACTTTGTAAGTGTACAGACCGTTTAATAAGAAGATATTTTATTAAGACAGTCCACTTTGTGTATACAGACAGGAGCCATCTTTGGAAAACTGTCTTGACAAGTCGAACCTCATTATGTTACTGTGTTAGTCTGGGGCTATTTTGAGCCTTGTTAGTGGTATTAACTTAGCCTGGATGCCAGCCCGAACTCCGCCCACAACATTTTTTGGACGGGAAGTTCGGTCTGGACTCGATCCATTGAGGAGTAATTATGATCAGTTCAGAAATCATCGGGCCAATCAAATTGCCAGGGCGGGCTTTATACGATGATTGACAGGTGGTCTTCAGTAACATAATCCTCGTGTCATCAAAGAGTGCTTGTCAAAGATGACTGCAGCTGGAGAATTGAGATGTATAGATTCCGCTGTCGCGTCTTTTGTAAAATAAATCGATAGCGCATTCATTTTAATAGACAAACAGAGAACTGCAATCAAGGCCTTTGTCGATCAGAAAGATGTTTTTGGCGTCCTTCTTACATGATTCGGGAAAAGTGTAACTTATCAGCTGGCTCTGACGGTCGTTAAGAAGATGGGACGTAATGAAAAGCCTGTGGTCGTTGTGGTTTCTCCTTTGGTGGCACTCATGGAGAAGTAATTAAAAGAAGTAACACTCGCTATTTAACTTCTAAAATAAATAAAGTAGGCTACGTTCTGTATTTGAAAACTGCGCTATGCAAAGGAGTTGACTTACTGCCTTGCTCTGATTGGTTGGTAGGTCTACCGACTATCCAATTGAGTGCAGAGGGTTTTTTTTGACACGACATATTATATGCCCCCATATACTAGCGTATACGCTAAACATTTTTTAGAGATAAAACTCTTTACATTAAATTATCATGAAAACAAATCTCAGAGAACGGTCGACTAGGTACCAATGTGTAATTAGACCAAAGGTTCATTTTGCGCCGGAGTTCTCCTTTAACAGTGTATACATAGGCTAAAACTATTGATTGTATGACTGTTTTGAAATGATGATTGTTTTGGGTCAAATAAGCCTCAGTTAGATGTGAAGAAAAAATAGATATTAGATATTATTTAACATCAAATATATCATTTTAATATTTTATTTGGTCAGTTATTTTATTAAGAATACCATATTCTGTGCCATAATTTGCCATATAGCATATCAATTTAATCCCCAAAATTAAAAATGTCCTTCATACACATTAACAACAACAACAAAATATATAAAACAAAGGAAATCTGCATAATCTCAAAGAGAACAATTTATTATAAAAAGCACTGACAAATATACAAGGTTAAAAAAAAGTCACTGAAACATTTCTTTTTCTAAAGACATTGTATTCATCACTTAGTTGAACATAAAAATGTAGTTACTGGATGACAAAGTTCAATAACAAAGACTTGCAATGTATCTATAAAGGAGAAAAAAAATGCACACATTTCTATGCAATGTAATGCCTCACAATGTAAAACCTCGGCATCGTCAAAACACCAGCACTTTATCCTTCACCCGCGCCTTCCCATCAGACTGTGCTCACAGAGACAGTCCACAGTCAAGAAAAAACATTTGCTTCTCAATTGTAGATGAAGTTAAACCTGCGCAGGGGAATGAATAGGTTGAGCAAGTTAGTAAAAGGATTTACAACATGAACTCTTTCCCTGCCAGTTTTTTAAAAAAAAATTACCAGCCACTGCCAGGATTTTTGAGCATTTTAACAAAACCTTTCACAGAATATTTTGTGGCAAGAATATCTGAACATGCATGCAATCACTTTTTTTCTACTGCTTCTTCACCTGTGTTTTGAACCTGAGATTTTGTATTATTTCATAAGAAGCATTACCTGTCAATGGCGGGGGAAAGAGTTCGTTTAATTAGACACCATTTATCAATATTGTTTAAATGATGTGAAGCCTATTTACTAGATGCTTTCATAACCCATCCAAACACCTCACCTGCTCAGTAGCTGAGGAAGACTAGATATAATCGGCCCGTATCCAGGAGCATTATCATAAAGCTCAAACAAGGGGGCGGCCACCAGCTTATAGTTCTTTGGCACAGCAAACAATGCTAAAGACACACGACACACAAGTTAAGCTGTATAATCACAAGGTGCATTGAGTAAACAAAACATATTTTGCCGTACCTTTCTCTTGCAGCTGTACTAGAAAAAGCTTCTTATGTTCTTTAGGTTTAGTGATGTGTGCTGGAATATATGGGTACTGTGGAAAGAAACGAGATATGAAGCAAAATCTTAGTGTGCTTGAAAGTGGAAAAAAATAAATCAAAATATACTGTTGGTGATCCCGTGCGTGGTGTTTGTCTGAGGAAAAAGGAACGGAGTAGTTACCACCTGAGGTGGTTCAAAGTTTGGTCTCCACCAGTTCCCAATACAGTCATCAATGACCCAGTCCTGTTTCACTCCATCCTGACGCCCCAAAATCTTGACAAGAATATTAGAAATTATTCTCCAGTGTATTTTAAATCCATTTCTGCTAGTTTTATTACATTATATGGCATTTTAATGTCATACAAGATGGTACGATACTCTGGCCCTGTATATACCTGGTATTAAGATGCGTTTGTCGATTGGATCACTACAGTGGGCGGCGCTAAATACAGGTGGAAACGGGGTCTAAATCATTTTAAGCTTGTCCACTTTCGACCACTTCCAGTGGTAATTGAAAGTGCTCAGTTCGAATGCTCCATGTTTTTCCGTCGTCTCCGGTTGCATTCATTTGTAAATTGCGCATGCTTATTACATCCATTAGATCGAAAGGCCTAAAAAACGCCTATACTTTTACTTGCCTAAAGACCCTCCCCTCAAAGAAATCAGGATAGAAGTGATTGAAAATGGACAAAAAAGACGGATTAAAACCCCAAGTGTAAAAGGGAATGCGTCTCCCTCGTCTACCTGTGATTCGATCGCAGACCAAATCTTAATACCAGGTGTAAACAAGGCCTCTGATAGTAAGTGTTTTTGTCTTGGCTGATCTTTTATCTCTGAAATTAACAGATTGTAGTTAAAAAAAACAAACTTGTAAATGCCATAATTTTTATCATATTAAATACAGTCAAAAAACCAATGATACCTCTGTCATCAGTCGTTTTAACCCCTCCACCTCATCTTCTCCAGGGTTCAACTCACCACCAGGACTGCAAAAACACAATATGTAAACTGTCAGGCACTGACAATAAACATTAATAGACACATTTTCAATAAATGCACAATGGACGAACAATCAAAGATGCGTTCCTTTTGACAAGTTTAACCGCTAAAACGGCACCTATTTGAACTGATCACATCCACACAAACTCCAGTGAAGCAGTGAGCGCTTACAGTTTGAAGAAGGTGGTTCCCAGCTGTAGGAGCAGCACGTGAGGGAGTCTGTGCTCGTGCACGATCAGAACTCCCTCCACTGTCCGCCGCATCCCGATTTTCTCAAACTCCTCCCGCATCCGCTGAAAGCGTGCGGCTACCGAGCTGTCCTTCTCATAGAGCGGCTCCTTGGTGCCGAATGTGTAATTTGTTAGAGGGTATCTGCGAAAAACAAATATCACAATGTTCAGGAGTTGCATCATTTAAATATAGGATATGATAGAACGTTATTGATTAACAATAGGCGCTTGTGTTGATGGGCGCTTCAACCCCGAAAATAAAACGGATAAGAAAACAGTACTAACTACTGTATATGGAATACAGCAAAAACAGATCTTTGAATGCCAGTTATTTTGTACTATAGATACATGCGCATGTCAATATAAATGTGCAAAGATTTGGGAAATACATTAAATCAAACTCAGTAGATGTGAGATCTCAATCAGGTTCCTAGGTCGTGAATCAGAATATTGTGTTGATGAATTCGGGCACTGGTATGGCCAGTAAAGGACGCTGGCTCATTACACATTGAGACACTGGTGACTCTTTCCGGCGACATGACATTCTCAAACAACATCACTACTGGTATTATGAACAACAGCAGAACTTACATCTTTATGACATCATGTTTTAATGTAATTTATAGTAAGTAAATAGACATACGTTGCTTGTTATATACAAGCAAAATTCTGTTTCAGCCATAAATAAATTATAAATTTTAGCTAAAACTAACGTTACCTGTCTAGTGATGCATGTTTATGCTGAGTATTAAAAATAAACATATATTATCACGTGTCATTGTGTGTGACGTTAGTGATTTGGCTTACGTATTTTACGTTAGGGAGCATAGTGAGAATCGATGCTCCCTGGTTTTCAAGGTGCACTGCGGATATTTTTAGGAAGGATTCTGCGATTGAGACAGCCCTTAAAATGCCCGACTCCCTTATCAGTGACCAGACTACTGAACAAGGGGGCTGAATGAGACGCACCCAGTGTATTGTTACGCATCCAAACAGCAGTCGGCAGGATGGAGCATTTTCAAATGTTAATGCTCTTTCAAAAAGGAAGCTATAAGGGATCGTTGAGTATTAGTTATGAAAGAAAAGTAACTGCACGTCGTTTGCAGTGGTGCATTCTACTCACAGGTTGATTGTTCTCTCCAGGGTGAGCGGTTTAGCCGGCTGGCTAATATATTTATTGCCGAACTGATTTACTCCACGAGGCCAACCGGTAGATGATCGATTAGGAGGTACAACTGACATCGTACGACGAATAATATAGTCGCTTCTTAATCTTTGCACTAATCACTTTTTTGCTGTTAATTGCGATTTTAGTGGGATTGAATAGCACAGCCTTGGCGCTCGATGAAAACAGTAATACGGCACTCCGTCTCTGTTGTGAAAGCACATCCGGGACATCGAGCTACTTCCTGTGTTACGACCGTACGTTTTGCTTTACGTCATGTTTACGCTAGCCATACGCTAGCAGGCTAATTAATATAAAATCGATTGATTTTATATATTTTTATATTTTGTTCTTTCTTTATTGCCCATTTAGTCAATCTATATATATATATATATATATATATATATATATATATATATTTTAAATATATAAGTGTTAAATATATAAATATGACTTCACTTGTCACTTGACTAGACTTACATTTATTCATTTGCAAGTAATCATCACACGATGAAAAAAAAAACCTTCTCCAAATAAACATTTTGGTTAATCCATTGTGGTAAAGATTAGCGAAACCAACACCGATTAAAATCTACTTCTAATACCGTTATCTCCTTATTATAAAACAGTAGCTTCTACAACAGATGTTTCAGTTTATATATAGGTCTAACTTTGAAGTGATCTCTTCATTCGTTTATTTTAAGGAGTAAAATGAGAGATCCGGCGTGCTTTTAAAATACTTTTATTGTTTTACACTTTTTGTGTGTACATATTTTTTTTAACATTATGGTGGTGGGAGTCAGGAACAGACTACATCCAGAATTAATATGCAACATTGGTTTTCTTTCTTGATTTTGTGTCTCGCTGTGTTACTCTACATTCATTTTTACTAGTGCAATTAACCACATTATGAAAACAAAGTATACAATGAAAGACTTGCAACCTATGTGAAAAAGCACCCTTCTCAAAATAAACCATTTTATTATTGCGCTTTAGGGAGTAGTCAAAAAATAAGAGTAGGCCTACAAACTAACACTGAATAAAAGCTATTTCTAATACAGTTATCACCCTTAGTGCAATTCATTTTATTCCATCATAGTTCCCATCTAAGTCATCATTAGATGTTGCATCCTTGAGAAATCATACAAATCAATGCAGCAAGACTGCTTTTTAGGGGAATCATATAAATCAATGCAGCAGTATTGCAATTTTAAAATTCAACACATTTGCAAGAGATCTAGGGAATTTTGCATTGCTATATGGCTGCCCTGTAAAAACAAAGTGCATTATGGTCTCTGAAATGTTATCATATGTCGCGTGTTCATTTGCCCTCATTACATGAGGTTTGGCAGGGACAATACATTCTTTCCTAAAGCTTAAGGCACTGTCATTGTTAGATAGTCTCTCTCTAATTTTGTTGTTGGGTTTAAAAAACAGTCAACTGAAAACATCAAATTAGAATACATTGTAATAATAATTAAAAAATATATATTTATATTACATAAGTATAGTGCTCATCTCAAAGGCATTAACAATTGCTGTTTTAGTCATCTTTAGCAACTTAATTAAGAATTCAACCAATGTGGTCAATACATTTGTATCAAATGAGGGCAAATGTCACACAATAAATCATAAGCCTATCAAAGACAACTATTAATCCTGCAAGGCAAAGATAAATTGAAACAAAAATACTTGATGTCTTATGAATATGTTGCAGAATATAACTGAGAAAAATACACTATATTGTGCAAAAAGCAGTGCACTTTTCTTTCTGTGACGTCTGATTTTTAACCCCTAGACCTCTCACATGAATACATACATAATATGATTAAACCAGTACTTTTATATGCCTTTAAATATATTGAAATACAAGTGCGTTGCATATATATTGAAATAAAACTATGTGCTTCATTATTATAAGGTACATTTTAACAAAATATGTTTTTTATGTCATTATTTTTTACAGTTAAGTTTTAGGGAAAATTAAAATCACAGCTCCACAAAGCAGAAACTCCAACACACAGACTAAAGTGCATTCAAACCCGGGTCACAATCATTTATGATATATTGCATAGCATACAGTCCACATGTGTTGTAGTCGTTGGGGAAGGAAATGCTTAATATAGCCTTTCTTTGGCATCTTCAAAAGGATCTTGATGTAGCCTGAACTCCTTATAGGCTTTGAGAAAGGTTTACTGTAAATATTCCAAAGAGTTGCTCCAAAAGATTGATACATATCCATCTTCTATCAATGGCCTACTGAGTGAATCTTCATTCAGTGCAAGTTTACTTGCTATATCACCGCCACATCTATTAGTCAGATACATTTGAGCCTTCTCTTCTGATGTTGGAATAATATGCAATCCAAGTGTCATGCTTTCAAATGGATCCCTCTTAAAGAAACAATAAACAAGACAACCGTAAGTTTGAGGTAGATTTTAATAGCATAAAACTATACTTCTTAGACAGTAGATTTGAACATCACAGGGATCTTCAGGCTGTTAGTAACTGTTGATTATTACCTGTTCATCTCTCAGGAGGGATCTGTGCTGGCTGTCATATCAGGTCTTCACTGCTCCTCATAGCCAGCGGTGGGGTACGTCTCTCCCCCCTGACCCTGAAACATGTACTGGGTCACAGCAGCAGGGATTAGGGCATTAGCCAGCTCCTGCAATTGCACAAATAAATAGTTTAGAAAATAGTCCTTATAATGGGTACTTGATCACGCAATTATCAACTCGAAAAATGTCACTTTGAGCCATTATGCAGCTTATTGTGTAGAAATGATAGTAAACTCACTGATTTCAGGTTTGGGTCCATTTCTGTGAAATTCCACTCATTCAAAGGGAGACTAAATGTGAAAGGCTGTGAGAAAGAGTAGAGGTTATAGGTTAAAGGGATAGATCACCCAAAAATTAATTAATCTCCCTCATGTTGTTCCAACCCTGTAAGACTTTCATTCATCTTCGGAACACGAATTAAAATATCTTTGATTCAATCTGAGAGCTGGATCACTGGATTGAAACTTGCCGGCCCCGAAAAGTTATCGTTAAAATAGTTAAAAGTGTCTAAAGTGGCTCGATCTTAAGTTTATCAAGCGATGATAATACTTTTCGAGCGCAAAAACAAACAAAAATAACGACTATTTCAACTATTCATTTCCTTCTCTTTGGGCCTCGAGTCAGTTAACGTAGTGTGATAGCGCAGAGCTACGTCACACGTAGGCTCACTATTGGCCGACGCTGGTCATGTGTGTGATGTGTGTGACGTACATCAACAGAAGCTTACGCTGTTACACTAGTGAACTCACTCGAGGCCCACAGAGAAGGAAATTAATAGTTGAAATAAAGTCGTTATTTTTGTTTTATTTGCGCACAAAAAGTATTCTCGTCGCTTGATAAACATAAGATTGAGCCACTGTAGTCACTTGGACTATTTTAACGATGTCTTTAATAACTTTTCGGCTCTCAGAATTCTTCAAAAATATCTTGATTCGTGTTCCGAAGATGAACGAAGGTCTTATTGGGTTGGAACAAAATGAGGGTGAGTAAATACTGATAGAATTTTCATTTTTGGGTGAACTATCCCTTTAATCGGGGTATGTATGTTAAGGTCATTACTATGATCCTCTCATTCACTTTTATGTGTGTTAACAGTGGATTCGCTCGCCCGCCCTGTATAGATTCCCACTTACATCCATTGCCGCAGCACTGCTTTCCATGCTCTGCTGGTGACTCCTCAGAAGCAGCTGTAAATCCTCCAGGCTCATGTCAACGTTCTCCACGGCATCAGGAATTTCTGGTCTTTGACATATACACACAAGTTAAACTTAAATGTGAGAGTGGTGCTTGTCTGTCTAAAACAAAAGTCTTAAACTGGGCCAAGTTGTAGATATTTGTTACTCTGACATGGATGGTATATTATACCTCTCCAGCATGGGTCTTTTGGCCCTTCTCTCTCCCAAATTAGATCCTCGGCCCTCTAGGACGGACTGCACCATGGCAACAGGGAGGACGGGGGGTTCAGGGCACACCTCACAGGAGCTGAGTGGTACACCCTCTCCTCGTCCCTGCACCCCCGGACTCGCCGGCTCTTCCTTGATCAGCATCAGACATTTTTCCCTAAAGAAACAGATCACATGTTAATCCATGGAAAACTAAGGTCCACTGAAATCCATTTGATCTTTTCCCCCCATTTTAATCGTTATGGTTAAAATGTTATCAAATGAAATGTAAACAATTCCTTATTTTTATTTTTTGCAAACAAAGCGCTGCAAAACTATGGAAGCTTGTTTCAGCCATTTAATTAAAAATAAGAAAGGTAATTGCGTCTTTTTATCTCACAATTCTGTCTTTTTTTCTCACAATTGTGAATTTATAACTGCAATTGGGAGTTTATTTCTCAGAATTGCGTCTTTTTATCTCGCAATTGGGAGTTTATTTCTCAGAATTGCGACTTTATATCTCGCAATTGCGACTTTATTTCTCAGACTTGCGGCTTTATTTCTCGCAATTGCGACTTTATTTCTCAGAATTACGACTTTATATCTCGCAATTGCTACTTTCTCAGAATTGCGACTTTATATCTTGCACTTACGACTTTATTTCTCAGACTTGCGACTTTATTTCTCAGAATTGCGACTTTATATCTTGCAATTGCGACTTTATCTCTCAGACTTGCGATTTTATTTCTCAGACTTGCGACTTTATTTCTTGCAATTGCGACTTTATTTCTCAGAATTGCGACTTTATTTCTCAGAATTGCGACTTTATATCTCGCAATTGCGACTTTATTTATCAGAATTGCGACTTTATATCTTGCAATTGCGACTTTATTTCTCAGACTTGCGACTTTATTTCTCGCAATTGTGACTATTTCTCAGAATTACAACTTTATATCTCGCAATTGCTACTTTCTCAGAATTGCGACTTTATATCTTGCACTTAAGACTTTATTTCTCAGACTTGCGACTTTATTTCTCAGAATTGCGACATTATATCTCGCAATTGCGACTTTATTTCTCAGAATTATGACTTTATATTTCGCAATTGCTACTTTCTCAGAATTGCGACTTTATATCTTGCACTTACGACTTTATTTCTCAGACTTGCGACTTTATTTCTCAGAATTACGACTTTATATCTCGCAATTGCGACTTTATTTCTCAGAATTACGACTTTATATCTCGCAATTGCTACTTTCTCAGAATTGCGACTTTTATATCTTGCAATTGCGACTTTATCTCTCAGACTTGCGATTTTATTTCTCGCAATTGCGACTTTATTTCTCAGAATTGCGACTTTATATCTTGCAATTGCGACTTTATTTCTCAGACTTGTGACTTTATATCTCGCAATTGCGACTTTATCTCTCAGACTTGCGATTTTATTTCTCGCAATTGCGACTTTATTTCTCAGAATTGCGACTTTATATCTCGCAATTGCGACTTTATTTCTCAGACTTGCTACTTTATTTCTCAGAATTGCGACTTTATATCTTGCAATTACGACTTTATTTCTCAGACTTGCGACTTTATTTCTCAGAATTCTGACTTCATATCTCGCAATTGTGAGATAAAAAGTCGGAATTATTTATTTATTTATTTATTTATATTCAGTGACGGAAACAAAACAGATTTTGTTTCCTGGAAAAATAATTGTGATATTGTGCGATGTTTCTGGGGGGGGATTATTAGTCAATTAATTATTTCTTTATTATTACTGTGAGAAGTAGTACTACATTCTACTATACAATAATCTCCTAATTTATTTCTGTTATAATTTCTTCAACTTTTATACAGTAAATTCCCATTTTTATGACTGAATTCATTCCGTGAATCCATTATGCGCTTTTTGAGGTGGCTAAAGGGATAGTTCGCATTGTTTTCTCACCCTATGTTGTTCCAAACCTGTATGACTCACACAGGCTACTTGTGCGGAACACAAAAGAAGATATTTTGAAGAATGTTTGTGTGACTGTGTCCATAGTCCAAGTCAGTGGGGTCCAAAACAACATGAAAATACAGGACAATTTTAAACAGTTTTCATTTTTAAGTGAACAATCCTTTAACCCTAAAGGTCGGCCCACTCACCTTGATTCCTCTGCCTGCATTTGTAAAGCCATGGTGGTGGACTGTGAAATTTCAGTGACATCAGAAATGATTGGCCCTCCGGTCATCACACTGCTAGTGGAGCAGGATGCACTTTCTGTGGATGGCTGGTAGAACATGAGAGAGATTCTGTGTTTGTCATATTTTATTGATCGAGAAAGCCATCAAAACACCAGTTGTACAAGGCATGATATAGTGAGTAAAATCTTCTCTGTCAGATCCTCAATCTTTAATATGAAAGCTTTCTCACCGACTGGATATAGAAAGATTCTTGCAAGGACTCCATGGAGTGGCTATGGCTGAATTTGGAGGCAGGAGGGGTGGAGCAGCCATCATCCAGCATGAGAGGACTGAAGAGAAGGAAAAATGCAGCATATCATTGAAAGAAGCCACATTATGATCAATAAGGGTCAAATACAAAGACCTTATGACTACTGTTGAGAACTAAAATCCTATTGCACCCTAGTGGTAAGACAGTGAAAGAAACGTTGGAACAGTGTTGTTATTAGTTAGCCACTTGAAAGTTACAGTGAGGCAAAGAGCTCTGGCTCTTGCCGTCCCTCTTACCCACACTAGCTGACGGTGCACCTTTTAATAGAAGGTTAGAGGGTCATGCGCTACAATTCAGGTGTGTGCGTGTTTGTGGGTGCGTGTGTGAGGGCAAGAGCTCAGGAGGTCTGACTCAGCATTCAGGTCCATTCATCGAAGCGAGGGCAGTGAATTGTATCAGCTGACTGTTTCCAGCTGAGTTGGCCGTTCCTTCTACTGTGTTTGTGTTGGAGCATCAGGCTGTTGATTGCTATTTTCTGTTTGCTCTTTTTTTTGTTTGTGAATATGTGTCAATACAAAATCGGGTGCTTCAGATTAGTGTTTGTGTTGAAGTGTGTGTTACAGATGAATGGGTACACTCACAGCTTTCTCTTCATTCCCACAGTGCTGGGAGTGTTGGACTGCATCTGGCTGAACAGAAACTGAATCAGCTATATGGATAGAACAGAGAATCAGAGAGTGATTAAGCATTGGCCACTAGTCACTAAATCAGCAAAACTGCATCTATTCCAATAACAGCCAGTGTGGGCATGAGTTTTTTTTTTTTACCTTGTTCATGACTTTCTGCTGCTGTGTGTGATTCTGCCTCAGTGACACCACCTCCCTCCACAGAACATCATTCTGCCTACAAGATAGATAGATAGATAGATAGATAGATAGATAGATAGATAGATAGATAGATAGATAGATAGATAGATAGATAGATGGGATGGATGGGTGGATTGGGTGGATTGATTGGATGGATAGATAGATAGATAGATAGATAGATAGATAGATAGATAGATAGATAGATAGATAGATAGATAGATAGATAGATAGATGGATGGATGGATGGATGGATGGATGGATGGATGGGTTGGATTGGTTGGATGGAAGGATAGATAGATAGATAGATAGATAGATAGATAGATAGATAGATAGATAGATAGATAGATAGATAGATAGATAGATAGATAGATAGATAGATAGATAGATGGATAAATGGATGGAAGGATAGATAGATGGATGGATGGATGGATGGATTGGTTGGATGGATGGATGGAAGGATAGATAGATAGATAGATAGATAGATAGATAGATAGATAGATAGATAGATAGATAGATAGATAGATAGATAGATAGATAGATAGATAGATAGATAGATAGATGGATTGGGTGGATGGATGGAAGGATAGATAGATAGATAGATAGATAGATAGATAGATAGATAGATAGATAGATAGATAGATAGATAGATAGATAGATAGATAGATAGATGGATTGGGTGGATGGATGGATGGATGGATAGATAGATAGATAGATAGATAGATAGATAGATAGATAGATAGATAGATAGATAGATAGATAGATAGATAGATAGATAGATAGATAGATAGATAGATAGATAGATAGATGGATTGGGTGGATGGATGGAAGGATAGATAGATAGATAGATAGATAGATAGATAGATAGATAGATAGATAGATAGATAGATAGATAGATAGATAGATAGATAGATAGATAGATAGATAGATAGATAGATAGATAGATAGATAGATGGATGGATGGAAGGATTGGGTGGATAGATAGATAGCAAAACAATCGATCTGAAAACAATCGAGAACTACTGAAATAGATAATTATTCAGATGAATATATACACTTGGGTATATGATCATCAGAGCGCTGGACTCCAGCAGTCAGGAGAGCTACTGAATGTTCTATTGAGGCAGCTTATACAAAACACCAAACCACTGAGATTCACAATGCAAGAGAGCCGATGAATAAGCCAACTGCAGAAGTAGGTGAAAAGTCAAGTTGTTGTTCGGGGTTCAATTGCTTTGTTACTAAGCATGAGGATAGGCAGTAAATGATGCCATGGGGTTAATTGGCTGCAGGATGTGTGTTAAACGTCTTACTGTTTCATATCCTGCATCTGCATCTCCATGTTCTCTTGTTGGCTGCGTAACACCTGCACCTCATACAACAGCTTACTCAAGTCCTCCTGCCGCACTTTGGTCTCCTCGCTTTTCACTATTGACACCTGTGAATACACAAACATATAAACTATCGTGTAGTATGAGTAAACAAACCTCAAGCCTTCTCATTTGTGTGTGTGTAAGAGCCTCTGACTCAGAGGATGAGAGCAAATAAAACAAGAGTGAGAATCACTTAAAGATGAGACGTCTCACCTTGCGTTTAATGTGCTCCAGCAGATGCTCATGGCCCTGGAGGAAATAGAGGTGCTGGAACTCGGTGTCATCCCGCTCCGGCTTTACCAGCCCGCTCTGCTCTATGTTCACCACCTTCCTGAAGCCGTCTGAGAGAAGTGAGAGGTTAGCACAAACCTAATCTGGAGTGTCTGTGAGAGTTTGGGGATGTTTGTCAGCGCAGGCTGATACTTACACATGTTGAGCTGGCGCACAAAGCTTGCCATGTTATTGTGCTTGAAGTATTTGGGCAGGACCTCCTTAGCAAATCTGCCCTGGTCAAAAACATGGAAGCTGGTGCCCGTCTAGAAAGAGAGAAAACAAGGCAAATACATCTGCTTTTATTATAGCACAAAACACGTTGCATGTGTTTACGAGAGGGGATTATTCCTCAAGCTTTTCCTGAAAGACAGTTTAGAAAGTTTAAATGCAAAACTGAGACGAGGATTGTGTTAAATCAGAGAGAAGCGTCTACCCAAATGCCATCGCCTGCCTGTTTTTCAAGCTTATTGAGTTTTTACTGTCTAACAGGTGTTATTTATTTATTGCCCACGCAAGCAGAATGTAAATGATGTTTGATACACAGGATCTTTAGCAAATTAATGAATGTCTGCACTGATGATTCATTGGCAAGTTTATGTCAGTTAAAAAGAGAATATAATTATGCAGTCTCAAAGTATTGATACAAATTAGTTTGCCAATGATTTTCGTGGTTCCGAGTTCAGTCAATAATTATTTTTATTGGCCTTTGATTGATGTTCATTAAAAATGAATTTTAAACATTTCCATCCGGATGCAGTATGAATAGCAGAATGAATCTAGAGAATTTGATTAGTTTCTTATTAATCATTCTGATGACCTAAGCTAGATCATCACTAAAAATAGTAATCCACCTTCAGTCTTACATTACCTCAAAGTTCAACACCGATCAACATATTTCCATGAGAAAAATATGCTATATTTACACAAGGCAGAAGTAGTTCACTTTTGAAAAACTTTTGCTGATAATTTATTCACCCCCATGTCACCCAAGATGTCCATGTCTTTCTTTCTTCAGTCGAAAAGAAATTAAGGTTTTTGATGAAAACATTCCACGATTTTTCTCCATATAATGGACTTCAATGGGAACCAAACGGTTCAAGGTCCAAAAGACACTTTCAATACAAACTGCAAAACTGTTGAAAGGGCTTTAAACGACACCAGACGATGAATAAGGGTCTTATCAAGCGAAACGATCGCTCATTTAATACATAAATTACAAAGTTTGAGTTTTATAAGCTCAAATGCTCGCCTTGTTCTGTTCTGTGACGTACGTTTGTGACTCTCCTGTTCGAATCTTTGTCCGAGTCATTTGGTTCATTCAACGAACGAAACCATAGAACCATGACTCTGAAAAAGATTCGTTCATTTTGATGAACGAGTTGGTTCGACTTCGAACAGGAGAGTCACGAACGCGAAACACGAATCGCAGTACAGAACAAGGCATGCATTTTAGATTTATAAAACTTAAACTTCGTTTTTTTTTGTTTTTTTTAAATGAGCGATCGTTTCGCTTGATAAGACCCTTAGTCATCGTCTGGAATCTTTTAAAGCCCTTTGAACAGTTTTCAGTTTACTGAAAGTGTCTTTTGAACCGTGAACCGTTTGGTTCCCATTTCTAATTTCTTTTCGACTGAAGAAAGAAAGACATCTTGGATTACATGGGGATGGGGGTGAATAAATTATCAGCAAAAGTATTTTGAAAAGTTAACTACTCCTTTAATATAAACTGTTAAGTGCATGTTGTAGCCTAAATATACTTTTTATATGAACATTTCTCTCAAATTTACTACAGCTTAAACAAATTATCAAAGTATTTGCTTAGTTTAGTTAACATGGTAACATTTTTAATATCTTTTTCTATACTAAATTTCAATACCATATTTCATAAATAGTTTTTCTACTAAAATTCTTTCAAATTTCCCACTGATCCCCTAGAGCTCTCTTACAGCTCTCCTCAGAAAATGTTGAATAGGCTAATTTTTGCAATTTGGGGTAGGAAAATATTTATTTGATATTACAGATACTATTAAATATATTCCAATATTTTACACATTTTTTCAGATTATTCAATTTAGTTAGCTTACTATTTTTCACAAACATTATAAAAGGGTCTGTATACATGCCAATAAATCACAGCTTTGAATACATAATAGCCGCCATTTCGTTTCATATTTGGCATTCAAATATTTAAAAAATCACTTGCTTACATTTAAACTTTTAAATGTGTTTCTCTGGCTATCTAAGGGCCCACAACAGTTTTTATCATCAAAAATATCAATCAAATATAGGATGCCATCAGGATGAACTCACAGTACTCCAGCAAATCAGATGATTGGTCTCTGGGTCCTCCACAAGAGTCCAGAGTTTAGTGAGGAAAGCAGGTACATTGCTAGCATATGCTCCATCCACACCTATAGAGCCTGGGTTCTCCTGCATAACTACACTTGGACTTGAACAGATGAGTCTAAAAAAAATCCAGAAGTATTTTAGTCCATTTCCAAATCGATGCTCTCTCGGGATGTGCGCTGCTGATGCTGTTCCTCTCTCCTTCTCCTCGTCTCTCTGTGGCCTAGTCATAGGGCCATATTGGTCCCTGCCGTTCCCACAGGTCAGAGTCAGCATAAAGCAATGCCCTGCAGCATCACCACTATACCCCCTCACTCAACAAAGGATCCCGCAGGAGAACAATACAGACTCACACAAAGCCTAGAATAATGCCACACTGTCACGCCAAACAGCACAATGACCAAACACAACCTGCACAGGAGAGTGTGCTGGCCAGGTGTGTGGCCTTTTGTGTGGATTTTTAATTGTCACTCTCGATGTTAAGGTCGTAAAAAAATCTATCTATCTTTCTATCTATCTATCTATCTATCTATCTATCTATCTATCTATCTATCTATCTATCTATCTATCTATCTATCTATCTATCTATCTATATGTCTGTAGGTCCTATATCTGTGTATGTACCATCCATCCATCCATCCATCCATCCATAGCTTTATTGGCATGGTTAAAAAAAAGTGTTTAAAACTATTAGAAAGACACAAGTGGGTATAAATACAAATAATACAACAAAATGCTCTACCTTTATCTAACCAGCAGGGGGACCCATAATCCAGATATTCAGTGTTTTTACCTATGCAACACAGTCGTAATTTTAACAGATAGCGTTTTGTTGTTGTCATAATACTGCACATTTATACATGCTAAGGATTTTTTAAATTCTTAAAGCTAACTATTACTGTTTTGCTATAGCAATTTCTAAATGAAAACAGATGGATTACTATAATTTTCAACGCAATTTTCAATGAACCTATTCTTGAGGGGGAAAAAAAATGGTTTTGGCACTCCATAGGCACTGAATCCATGGTGACAGAGGCATTATAAATGCTTCCGTAGTCATTCAGGTCAAAGCCCGGTTCAGTTAAACATGATCAGTGGCTGACGCGTGCAAAATTAAAATCACTGGTCAGCATCTGTATGCCAAACAGGTCATAGCCCTTCATGACGACTTACTTCCTCATTTTCAAGCGGTGGCATTATGTCACCTCGAGTCATTTAAAGTGATTAGTTTTTAGAAATCCCTTGCAGTTATCCCCTGTAGTTAATGAGTGAAGATTCAGCATTCATTTCAGGAGTCAACATCAGCAGTAAGTAATTGTTCCCATGTATCACATTCCACTCGGCATATTTTAATCAGTGTTACAGGAAGAAGAAAGTGTTTGATTTGCATGAGGATGCGCGACGCACATCTGTCAGGTTTGTTGTCATGTGAGAGCGAGGTGGGCCTGTGTTTTTGTATGTACCCACACTAGGTAGGAACTTTGTTAGCCATTAACAATAATTAAAAAAAAATAAAATAAATCTTCTGAAGTAATCCTGCACCTAAGAGCATTTATTGTACTCTCTTCTTCTGCTTCTGAGATGCACCACGGTCAGGATATTGACTCCTCACTGTAAAAACTAATACTGGCAGTAGGCTACTAATATTAGCCCTAGCCGACCTGCATGTGCATATCTGTAAATACATCTATACTGTCCTTAATGTCATGTGGCCAAGTTTGAATTTATGAAATTACATTTGTTAGGTCATTATCAAAATTTTTGAAAAAATACACGAAGTGGACTGTCTTTATAAAGTATCTTCTTATTAAACGGTCTATTACAAAGTTCTCAATGCTTCGTTTTGCATGTAGGGACCCTCATTATGTTACTGTGTTTGGGGCTGTTTTGAGCCTTGTTAGTGGTATTAATTAGCGATTTCTTTTTACTTAATAAATGCTCCCATATACTAAACACTTTTAGAGATTAAACTCTTTACATTTGATAATCATGAAAACAAATCTCAGAGAACGGTTAACGAGGTACCAAAGATTTATTAGACCAAAGGTTCATTTTGCGCCGGAGTTCTCCTTTAAAAATACCAAAATTTGTGGAAAAGTACTTTCAAAGTCAAAGTTCAGAGTAGGAAGAAGCTTGTTCAAATCTTATGGTAATTTTCCCATCATGTTGCGAAAGTTGATTTAAACATCAATGGTTTCACAAGCCTAATTTGTCCAATAATATATATATATATATATATATATATATATATATATATATTAAAGAACAAAAGTCAAATTGTCCTTTATAATTAGTTATAGTATAATGTCAATGTATTAATAAATAAACACCAGCTTTCAAAACGTCAACATTTTGCAAGTCTGAAATGTCATAATCCAGTCATAATTTTAAAAACCGCATAATGAAATGTTGATAAATATTTTCAGTTTGGACTCAAATCCCTAATCTGCCACAGTGTGTCATGTAAGCATCACAGGGCCACGAAATCACTGGCCTGAGGGTCAAAGAGCACATGATGTAGGATTTAAAACAGCCGTAAATGACGGCCGCTGCGAGGTCAATCATGATCTTGTTATTAATAAAGTTGAGAGCCGGGATTAAACGAACGAACTGGTGGCCTTGGTTTGAACAGCCAAGGTTGCAACGCAGCTGCGTTCATGCAGCTTTATGCTAATGCTAATCTGAACAAACATATAATCCATTAGTGATTAAACACCACAAGGAATTTGTACCACGGACACATGTTTGTCCATATCCTTTTAGAATCTAATTTGGACATAGAAATCAGAGATAAAATTAATTAATAATCAATCAGAAATAAGTGAATTTATTGAATACTTGTAAGATGCAGTGGTGACCAAAACAGAAGACACAAGACAGAGGAGAAATATGAGGGTGGTGAGAGAGAGAGAGAGAGGGTATCCAATCACACACACTTTTTAACTGGAACTAAGGTGGGATCAAAGGCACACACACCCTGAAAAAGAGAATGAAATTATTCATATCTAAAACTAGTCTGCATTTCAGTGTGTAAGGGATGAAGTATACAGAATGACGTTGATTATTTTAGCCTACATACCTCTCACAATTTGGGGGTCTGTAAGATTTTTATATATATATATATATATATTTTTGAAAGAAATCTCTTTTGCTCAACAAGGCTGCAGTAATTGCATAATAAATACAGGAAAGTTATGAAATATTTCAAATGTTATTTATTCCTGTGATGGCAAAGCTACATTTTCAGCATCATTACTCTATAGTCTTCAGTCAGTGTCATGATCCCAATCATTCTATGGAGCAGAAATGCTGATTTTCTGCTCAAGAAACATTTCTTATTATCATCAATGTTGACACAGTTGTGCTTTTAATATTTGTGTAAAACCAAGATTATTTGGTGGATAGAAAGTTCAAAAGAGCAGCATTTATTTGAAATAGAGACTTTATAAATGTTGTTACTGTTAGTGTCACGTATGATTATTTCTACTTGCAAATTAGCATTTCTAAAATTTTGAATGGTGGTGAATATAATCGGATTCGCAGATTTGAAAGGTTCCTCATATCATACACTTTTAAAGAACACAGGTGGACAATGACATCCTGTGTCAGACCTTCTCTTGAACACATGCAAAATAGCATAGCAATATGTTTGTATGGATAGGTTATGGCTAATTTCACTGGTGACTAAGTAACAATAAAGGGTTACTTCTACTTCTATTAAACTGCCCCTATTATGCTTTTTTGAATATGACCTTTTATGCAGTGTGTAATATAGCTGTTTGTAAATATAAAATGTATTCAAAAAGAAAGAACCGAATCCGAACTGCTGAAACGAGTCATCAGCAATTTTAGTTTCACATCCTCTGGCATCAATTACTAAAAACTTAAAGGAGTAGATCACTTTTAAAAAAACTTTTGCTGATAATTTACTCACCCCCATGTCATCCAAGATGTCCATGTCTTTCTTTCTTCAGTCGAAAAGAAATTAAGGTTTTTGATGAAAACATTCCAGGATTTTCTCCATATAATGGACTTCAATGGGAACCAAACGGTTCAAGGTCCAAAAGACAGTTTCAGTGCAAACTGCAAACTGTTGAAACGGGTTTAAACGATTCCAGACGATGAATAAGGGTCTTATCAAGCGAAACGATCACTCATTTAATAAATAATTAACACTTTAAGTTTTATAAGCTCAAATGCTCGCCTTGCTCTGTACTGTGATGCGTGTTCATGACTCTCCTGTTCGATCTCGTTCATCAAAATGAACAAATCTTTTTCCGAGTCATTTCGTTCGTTGAATTAACCAAATGACTCTGAAAAAGATTAGTTGGATATGTATATATTATGTATGTAAGAAAGAGGATAAAAACAAAGAATAGTCTCTTTTAGCAGATGGTGAAGACAATTTGTTGCTTTCGCACAAACCAACAGCAAGACCGACAAGTTGATCTGTGAATGTGATGTATAGAAGTGTTCAAAGCCTGTTCGCATTCTCTATACTGACCAGCTGTCACTCAATACTATCATGTGTGTTCAGAGCAGAAGTGTGTGGAAACATCCACATGATTGTTAGCTTGCCTTTCCACATGATTTTAGACACTTCCCTTGCCCTCACATGGCATGTGGCAAACGAAAACAATGCAACCACTTTAGGTCAAAAGAACACTTACATATTTGTAGGTTTACAGCTCTTCCGTGTTTTAAACAATCCAATTGACTCCTATGATATATGATTTCTCGATAACAAATGAATTTCGAATGGATGACCACATTAGGTGGAACCATCGAAGGATATAAATAAACATGCTAAAGCTGACCCGTGATTTTACTATATTGCACATAACAGTATAATAATTGAAACCGCTGTTTTTTGTATTACCTCAATATGATTCTGTCTGAAAGTCAATGCATGAAATTAGATCTATTTACTGTAATAGACATCCATAATTTTCCTTTATCACGTCTGCTCTGTTTGATTAACCAGGGTTATGTAGGTTATTGTGTACTGGTTATTGATTCATCTGGCTGATGATTAGGCTGAAGTGTGTAATTTCAATTGTGCTCTCTAGAATCACAAAATGTTATAGCAAAAATAAATATGGTTTTCAAACAGGTTACCCAAACACCCCCATTCACAGTTGTGAACATGAAATACAGGCACATAAAGGATTATTAGGAACACCATACTAATTCTGTGTTTGTGTGTTTCACCCATTGTGTGTTTGGGTCATTT